CACGGCCGCTGCTTCTCTGCAGGTCCTACCCCGACGAGGAAGGCCCGAAGCACTGGTCGAGCGCCCGCTACGAGTACGTGATGAAGCTCAGGCAAGCAGCCTTGAAGGCTGCCCGGGACATGTGGGCCGACTACATCCTGGTAAGAGGACCCGCCTGCCGCAGGGTCCCTTCGGCGCGGAGTTTACGTCCTGAGGGCTTTTGGCTTTCAGCTAGGGAGTGTCTGGCTGCTCTTTGGCAGTACTGATTTGGTTAACGCGCTTGGCCCTTCAGCAGCATCGCAGAAGCCTGCAAAGAGTCGGTTGTCACAGTAGTAACTCGCAGTCTGCGCAGCCCCCGGCGCTGCAGTTTGGGTACTGGCCAGCATATCGTGATCTAGCGCGTGAGTTTTGTTCCTGTGATGCCCCAACAGATTGCGACTCTTGGCTCTTGTCTCAGGGTGTGCTTGGTTGGAGAGCGCTGTTGCATGGCAGGACAAAACAACCCGTTCTGCCCTAGGTGTGCTTTTGCTGCTGTTGTGCAAGTCCCGTTGGTTGCTCTCGAGTCCTTTGAGAACTGGGGGTGCGTAAGAAAAAACTGCTCTTCTGGTAACGTCATTGTGGGTCTGGAGGCTCTTACAGCTGTCGCGCGTGATCTAGCTGTGGGGATAGCTGCTGTTCATGTTACACGTTCCCTTTTGCATTTCTCATTCCCGCATGTGAAAAATTTCCTTTGGAAACTTCTGTGAACTGCTTGCTAGTACTGAAGAGGGGTCCTAGGCTTTCTAGCTGAAACATCAGCTGCTCTTTAACGTCCTGCATACATGCTGGGTTGTGCCCTGGGCACTCTGGTATGCGGTGACATGCTTCTTGGTATGCCTTGTACTTTCTGAGTTGGAACAGTCGCTTCATCGTCCGGTTTCTAGAAAGAGAAGAAATGCCTGTCAGCGTTGCTCTGGCTTTCGAAAATGCTGTGTGGGATGGACCATGCGCAGTCGTGGGGATAGCCTGCAGGGCATATGGATGACCAAGCGGCAAACGTTCACTGAATCGCACGCTAGACTAACGCTAAGAGAGACTGGCAGCATTACGACTGACCGCGCGTGTTGGGTTTTCTCTGTGCTTGCTGCAGTTTGTTGATGCAGATAACATCCTGACGAATCCAAACACCCTGAGCTTGTTGATGGCAGAGAATAAGACTGTGGTAGCACCCATGCTGGATTCTCGCGCCGCCTATTCTAATTTCTGGTGTGGAATGACTTCTCAGGTAAGAGATGGTCTTGGGTCTCTAGCTCACGTTGTTTCTTTGCTACCCTCCTCCTTCTCTGAATTATTAGTAGCAACAGCGCTAATCTTCAGGTAGCTTTGTGTCTAGCTCTCCGTGGCTCCTGCTCACTGTTATAAAGACAGCTAGAGCTGCGCTCTCTTCCCCTCTGTGCTGCTCTCTGGAGTTTGTTTCTGCCTTGGCTTGGCTAGCTCTGCAAACGTGGAATGCAGAGAAACATGAAAAGCAAACCTAAGGGTTTGTGTGTGGATCTTCCCTCTCTCAGGGTTATTATAAGCGCACTCCTGCCTACATTCCTATTCGGAAACGGGATCGACGTGGCTGCTTTGCCGTCCCCATGGTGCATTCCACTTTTCTTATTGACTTGCGGAAAGAGGCCTCCCGGGACCTTGCTTTCTACCCACCGCACCCTGATTACACCTGGTCTTTTGATGACATCATTGTTTTTGCATTTTCCTGTAGGCAGGCAGGTGAGCTAGTGGGTAATGACTTACTACTGTTTTTCTTTAGCTCAGTCTGAAGGATATTTCTATAGTCTTGTAATGGGCTGGATTTGTGAAGGAGTGGGGTTTGAGCAGTGTTTTATTTGCTGTGCATGTGTGTTAATTTTAGAAGTCCAGATGTTTGTTTGTAACAAGGAGGTTTATGGCTTTCTTCCGGTGCCGCTAAGATCCCACAGCACCTTGCGGGATGAGATGGAGAGTTTCATGCATGTCCAGCTAGAAATCATGGGTAAGTGCTGGGACTGTTGTGGGTGGAACTGAGGTCTATGGAATTTCAATTCAGATTTGCTCTGTGCTGTGTTCAAGATGTACTGCTTTCCTGGGGTGCGCCTTTGAGTTTTCAGCCTCCTGGATTTCTGGCAGATTGGAGGAAAAGGTCAAGGGAGGAATAGTTAGTACGATACAGTTACAACTGATCTGTGCCTTACAAAAATAACCCTGAAGGAAGTCCGGTATCTCCTGTAGGTGTGAAGGGGGTGGTATAGCTAGGCCATTTGACATCTGGGTAATCTCTTTTGGGGGTTCTTTTTTTTTTTCATGCCGTGTGAAAGCAGAGACTATCTTCTGGCTTGGCTTTTTCCTCTCCTAACTTCCAAGGCCTGTGGTCTCTCTGGATTGCAGTTGGCTCCACTGGCTTCTTTTTCAAGTCTTCCCCTTCTCAGCCTCTGGTCTCAGGAAGATCTCTGTGGCAGCACCCTCTTGCCCTAGCATACGCAAGCAGTGTTCTGAAGCCTCGTGTTTACAGTACAGGGAAGGGAGTATTTTGGAGTTTGCTCTACTCTCTCTCCTCCCTTGGGTATCTTGCTGCCTGAGCGTCACAGTATATCTTTGTTTGGTCTTGTCTGCACAAAGGTTCTTTTATGAAAGTGGAGTCCCTGCTAGCATTTAAAAGGATGGGACCGAGTTACGTGAAGGAACTTCTTTTTAAATGTGAACGTTTCAGGAGAGGTAGCCCAGGTCTCGAGCCAACCTTGTTTTGAAACGGTGTTGTAAATCTGAGGCTCTGATGCCAGAGGTTCATTTCCAGTTTTCTTTGGCCATTCACAGACTGCGTGTGTTCCTTCATGTTCCACAAATTTCATTCTCCTTGTCCACAGAAGCAGAGTATTTCTGTAAATTCAACTCTAGTCAATGGTCTCCTGTTCAAGCGTTCTCTTATTCGCTGATAGATCTGAGACTGGAAAGCTCTTATACGAAGAGGAAAAGTCTGAGGTGAATAATAAATGAAAGTATAATATAGTAACTTGTCAATCAGCAGCAAAAGTTAAGTATATCTTTCCTGCTGGATGTGTGGGGGGGATTGACTCAATGCAAGCAGTTGGGTGCTTTGCTGTTCTGGCTGTAGAAACAGAGGTGAGGGTCACAGAAGAGGTGTCCTGCTGTCTTTTCTTTCTCCATCCCCAGTAGGCTAGCAGGACTGTTTGTATTTGATTATGCTTAAGCAGTTGTCCTGTGTAGCCATAGTTGCACCCCACAAGGAATTGGTGAAGATCCCTTGGTTGTGTCTGTGTGTGTTAATGCTTTGAATAAAATGGAACGCAAATGGTTTCCTTATTGTTTGCCTTTAGTGAAGAACCCTCCAGCAGAGCCTTCACAATATATATCTGTCCCACCCAAGATCCCCGACAAGATGGGCTTTGATGAGGTGAGCTCTGTGCTTTTGCTCTATACGATCGTGGCACTCAGATGAGGAATGACATTTAGCTTGCCTGAGCTGAGCTGATGGGCTATCCTCTTGGTCACGGGTGCTCTGAGTGGTCTTGATGGATCCATTGGTGAGCACCGGCTATCTCTCCCCTTGAGTCCCAAGGCAGCATGTGGCAGAATCACCGCTTAGTCTTCATCTTCACTGATACAGCAGGAACTTCCCTGCACATTTGTGACAGCAGACTTTCTGTTTTCAGGTTTTCATGATTAACTTGAAGCGCCGGACAGATAGACGAGACCGAATGCTGCGAACGCTGTACGAGCAGCAGATTGAGTGCAAAATTGTTGAAGCGGTGGATGGCAAGTGAGTCCCAAGGATCAGGCTTGTGCCAGTACAATTCCTGGCAATAGAAGGAGCTGGGGGTCCCTCAGCTCGAGAAGGGTTCCTGAAGAACAGAACTTGGTGGGCAGGGGTGGAGGATGGCAACATGTGTTTCAAAGAAACAGTGCTTTTGGAAGAGGAGGAGCCACATTTTGACACTGGTGCCTCCTGGTCCCATCTGAAAGGGCTCTACCCGAAGAAGTCTGCCAAGGACTGTGGGGCTTTTCTCCTTCCGTTCTCCCCATCGTGCTGTGATTTGAGATTTGGTGACTAGTACGTGGATTTGGATGCTCTGATCTCTTCTGTGTGCGTGTGCACACAGCCTCAGGGGAAGGCAACAAGATGCTGGCTGAGTAGCTCTGTGAGCCATTGCCGTATTATAGTGACACAGGCTGCCTGTGCCCTGCGTAAACCTGCTGAGGGCAAGAGAGTCCTGAGGCTTGGGTTCGATTCTCCTTGTGGAAGACCAGTGGCAATGGCTTAGGGATTGCCTGGGAGGAAAGTTTCATCCGAGATCCAAATCTGGCAGTTGTCTCCTGTTTAATAGGAAGGTGCTAACCCTTGTTGCTGGTTTACAGAGCTATGAATACCAGTGAGGTTGAAGCTCTGGGAATTAAAATGCTGCCAGGTTATAAGGATCCATACCACGGCCGTCCACTCACCAAAGGAGAGTTGGGTTGTTTCCTCAGTCACTACAAGATCTGGAAGGAGGTGAGTGAGTGAATGAGAAACTGTTCTAAGGAGGGCTTTGGGTGTCCTGGTGCTTTTGCATGGAAGAGCACTCACTGGCTATGTGCTTGCAATGTGCCATAGTGTCGCTGATGGTCCCTCTGCTGTGGGTGTGCAGGGGCACAAAGGACAAGCACGGACATAGGTTTTGTGGATGAGGAGAATGGGGAAAGCGTGGGAGAAGTTTCCGCTTGAGACATTTGAGAAAGCACTGTCCCTGCTTTGTCAGTGAAAGGATATCTGCAGGTGCTCGTCTGGCCAGACGACTGGCATGAGTGTTAGGAGAATGATTTACTGGATCACACCACAAGCTGTGAAAAGGATGTGTACAGAGGCTCGCTTACAAATTAGGCTTCTGTCTGGCTGCTCTTGGTAACTGGACAAGTTCCTAATCCTGATGGCAGTGAAAGGGAACCTGTTTTTGTAGCTGTCTTGAGAAGGCAAAACATAGGGGTCAGGCCGATTTGCCAGTTCTGCAGGTTCCTGCATTGTTGTTGGTTCTAGAGACTTTCTAGTCTTTACTGTAGTAGTGAGAGAAATAGAAAGAGGTCTTGGGCCAGAAGGAGAGGAACGTGGCAGTTGGTGGTGGTGGGTTGTTTTTTTTTTTTTTTGACTTGTCTGTAAAAAAAAAAAAAAAAATCTTCTGCTAAATTGCTAGATTGTTGAGAGGGGGCTGGAGAAATCAGTAGTGTTTGAGGATGACTTGCGCTTTGAGATCTTCTTCAAACGGCGCCTGATGAATCTGATGCATGACTTGGAAGAGGAGGGATTGGACTGGGATCTGATGTAAGTATGGAAAATCGAAAAGTTAAACTTATGCATTATGAGGCTCTCTCTCACAATTGTAAGTAATGATTTCTGTAATGATGCATTTGCTGCCATATGAGTGGCACAAAAGGCTCGTGCTCTAAGGGAGAGGCATATAACTGGTTAAGAAATCAAAAATGAACCTGCCTTCTTTTTCTGGTGGTTGTCACACACTTCTATAGGTGTTCAAGGAAAAAAAGACTGTGGGGAGGGGGAGGCTGCTTTGAAAGAGCTCCAGCTAAGGAGGCGAACGGCGTCTTGGCAAACTTGGGAGCGGCTAAGACTCTTGCCCTGTCAGCTCCTTTGTGCTCATGCCAGGAAGCTGTACTTTTTGGTCAGAGCACAGGGCAATATGCTGAGGGCTACACCTTTTCTTTCTGCCATGGAACGCCTTGTTGAAACTCTGTGCACCCTGCCTGCCAGAAAGTCGATTATTTTATTAAGCTGGGAAGTTTCTTCCCTGTGGTGTATGAGCACCTGGCTCCTCTGATCTCTACCTGTAGTGAATTACTGCCGAGACGAGGGTTGTCTAAGTCTTACTGCCCTCAGCCCTTGCTGTTCGTGTCACATGGGTACTAGGGTTTCACCTGGCACTTCTTAGCTCAGAGCCTGACAGAGCTGGAATATATTTCTAGAAGGAGACTTAATCTTGCACCTTTCTCTCCTCTTGCACAGTTACATTGGGAGGAAGCGGATGCAGGTAGAGCATCCTGAAAAGTCTGTGCCTCACGTGCGGAACCTCGTGGAAGCCGATTATTCCTACTGGACTTTGGCCTATGTGATTTCACTACAGGGAGCTCAAAAGCTGCTGGCAGCTGAGCCGCTCTCCAAAATGTTACCTGTTGATGAATTTCTTCCGGTCATGTTTGACAAGCATCCTGTGTGAGTTTGATTTGCCTTCTTGGGGGGTGGGGGGGGGGCGCCTCTGCCAGTGTCAGTAGGCAGGGTGGGTTAGTGACAGACATCTTGGGAATTGCACTTTGAGGAAGGTGCTTGCCATGGGCAGAGCTCCAGTGCAAGCATTCCTTTTGCAAGTTTGGGAGTCTCCAGAGTTGGAGTCCATTTGCCTTGGAGAAAGGCTCTTGACATAGTCTTTCTCACACTGGTAACGAAATCAGAAACACCTTTAGTTTCCCTGACTGTGACTCATTCTGATAGTAACCTGTAGATTTGGTCTGGGGATACTGTGTCTGTAGATCTTTTCAGTTTCATTTAGGCCTTCAGAGGAATTGGATTTGTTGCTTATTGCAAAGCTTTCTAATTTTTTTTGAAAAAGGAGGCCTATGTAGGGCTGCTTTTTTTTCTATTTTTAGTCTTTCATGTAATAACTATATTTTGTCAAAACTGGGACTCCCGTGCTGTTTTACGTTCAGAGCCACGCAGTGAATTTACTGAGTTACTTAAATGGCTGTGCACGCTGCTGGAAGCACATGCAAAAGGAACATGCTGTAGCCCTTCCGCAACTGGGTGGCTTGGTGTCTATAGAGGGATCTGTTCCCTAAGTTTGCCCATTGATGCAGTGTCTAAAATCTCTGCCGTTGTTTTGTGGCAAGCAGACCTGCAGCAGACTCTTCCCTGAGCTGAGAAGCTGCCCCCACTGGGAGGAGCCTGACAATTGTTTTATCTGCCCTAGTATGGGCCTTTGCTGTTAGACTGACTTGCTGGCTATTACCTGCCTCTGGATGGCATTCAGGAGCTGTTCTTAAATGTGCTGTTGCACATGGTAATCACTCTCTGCGTGACTGTATAACGTGGTCAGACCCCCACAGAGCTCAGATACGGCTGGAGCATGCCGAGAAATTTGGAGCTGGCCTTGAAACATCTGACTGGCTCTAAATTCCTAAAGCTACCAGATCTTCTGCAGCTGTTGCTGCCCTTCCTTGGGAGAAAGAGGTTTGTAGGAAGGCAGTACTTCTGAAGAAGGGACTTGGTTATGCAGGCGCCTGGAGTAGCTGGGAACTGGACCCGAAGGGATCTTTTGTCCATCACTGTGTTTTGCTGGTGTCCCTCCCTCGGAGGGACTGCAGATTTGAAAGGCTGAGCAGGTTACGATGTTCTGTGCAGGCTAAATTAAGGCTGGAGGTGGACTGCAAGATGAATGGGGGACATATGAGGCTATTATTTCTTTCTTTTGTTTTTGTGTACAGCTCTGATTACATGAAGCATTTTGAAAATCGGAATTTGCTGGCCTTTTCGGTGGAGCCGCTATTAGTTTATCCAACTCACTATACTGGTGATGATGGCTACATCAGTGACACAGAGACCTCAGTGGTGTGGAACAATGAGAAAATAAAGACTGACTGGGATCGTGCCAAATCCCAGAAAATGAAAGAGCAGCAGGAGCTAAGAAATGAGGCCAAGAACTCGGATGTGCTACAATCCCCTCTTGACAGTACAGCTCGAGATGAGCTATGACCAGATCGAGCCTACTGCAGGGGATGGACAAAAGGACTGGCTTGTAGGGAGGAGCGGGGGTAGATGACGAGAAAAGGTATAACATTCTTTTTGCGGGGGTGGGGGGGTGGGGGGATTACTGGGGTTTCATTCTCTGTCCAAAGATAGAAAGGCAAATTTGGTTAGGTGACGAAGCTGGTGAGGGTTTATGTTTGGAGCCCTGCTGGCTGCCAGTGATGCGAGGAGAACGCTGAAAAAACTTGGCCAGACTCTCTCCATGGTTCCTTTCAGCTGTTGCTCCTTGGTGCGAACAGTCAACTGCTGTAATGTCAATGCTTTCTTTTCTGTTTTGGAAGTTGGTACTCAATAGGAAAATTGTCTTCTGGCTTGTGCTGCCGCGCGTGCATAGCTGTGCTGGAAATGCATCTTGTGATTGTTGAGTGAAAGGTTGGAAAAGTGTGGTAAAATGCAGCCAGATCTGTAGATTCTAGCTAACGAAATTCCTGATGCAAGCTGAAGATCCCTCTCTATATAAGAGAGATATTGTTCCTCTTTTATAAAGTCTTTGGCTATGACTTGAACAGTCCCGTTTCCTCACCAATAGCCCAGAGTGCCTGGGGAAGGAGCACGGCACAAGCTGAACTCTGTTGAGCTCAAACTCACTTTTTAAGTATTTTATTGTAGAGATGCTTCATAGCCCTGGAGGCTGAAGTCTGTTTATAGTACAGGCAGCAGTTTTGGAAACCTGCGGCTGCCTACCCTAATCTTCTCGGGACCTGGAGGAGCCCTAGGTCTGTTTGCTCAATGTGACCCTTGCCCTACTCGGTCTCTTCTTGGGGAGGTCATTGCTATGTGTATGGTGGGTATATGTCCTATGAGCTGGAGTGAGACCACTGACTTTCCTCCTAAAAGCAAGACTACTAAACTTAACGGTTAGTGGCTGGAGTCAGCGGTGGCGTGTGGTGAACTGCAAGCTCGAGGGGCGAGGCTGAACGGCCTCCGATTTGCCTGGCGTTTCCCGTATTGATCCAGTCCGTTCCGTCCCGGAAAAGTAATGAGACCTACCTCCAAAGTACTTAGGACCGCCTCCTGTTTCTGAAGAGCTACCCTGTTTTGTTTGGTTTTGTCTTGTTTTGTTTTTCCCAATGAAGTGGTCAGTCTAATAAAAGTCATTACCTCTTCTAGAGCGCGTGCCTCTGGTTCCTCAAGACCCTTCCAGGCTGCGTGAGCAGCTGGTGGGGCCGGGCCCGCGGCCGGGCCCAGCGTCCGCGCGCTCTCGTGGGGTGTGGGGGGTCTCGGGTTTGCAGCCAGTGCTGAAACACAGTAGTCTGTAAAGCATGCTTATTTTCACAGCCCTTTTTGGTGAGCCGAAGGTTGGTGGTGGGGTGTTTTTCTTGGCCTTCCCCCTGGAGCTGCCCAGCAAGCGGGGTGACAGGGAAGCTGGGCTGGGGCAGTTGGAGAACTACGAGGAAGGAGCCACGGCGCCACCCCGCGCCGCCGCCCGCTATCCACGCGTGCGCACTGCTGCGAGTCTCGCTGCTGCCGCCCCGCATGCGCACTGAAACCCTCCGCGCGCAGTGCTGCTGCCGTGTCCTGACGTCCCAGCACTGCAGGCGGCAGGCTCACGCATGCGCAATCCAGCTGCCATCGCTCACTGCTGCCCTCCTATGCTTATACCGTGGTACTGCACGCCGTCAGCTCACGCATGCGCACTAAAGGCATCTGCTCACGGCTGCCTCTAGAAGGAGAACGCATGCGCACCGGGTTCACTGCTGCCTCCGGTGTCGACCAAGCAGGAGTGCAGCGAGCGGCAGGGCGCACATGCGCACTAGGTTCGGGGTGCTCCCTGCTGCCCTCCGTTGTCGAAAATTTAATATTGCGCCTAGAGCAGGTGCGCATGCGCACCTTTTCCACCGTGCTCTTTGCTGCCCTCGCGTGTAGCAGCATCGGCACTGCACACGGCGGGTAGACGCATGCGCACGGCGTTCACCGAGCTCACTCCTGCCCTCGGCTATCGAGAAGGCAGTACTGTGCCCAGCGAGGTAGCGCATGCGCAAGTTCTCACTTCCCCTCGCGTGTCGAAAATATAGTATTGCAGCCTACGGCGAGAGCATGCGCACTGGGTTGCTCCGCCTTCACTACTGCCCCCTCGTGCCTACAAGGCAGTACTGCAGACAGCGGGAGCGCGCATGCGCAGCCGGTCCGCAGTGCTCCCTGCTGCCCTCGGCTGTCAACAAACAAGTACCGCATCAGGAAGGCGAGCGCACGTGCACGGCTGTGCCGCGGTGCTCCCCGCTGCCCTCGGGTGTCGAAGATGTAGTACTGCTCCCGCGGCTGCGCATGCGCCTTCGCTCCGCAGTGCTCTTTGCTGCCCTCGCGTGTAGCAAAACCAGTACTGCACATCTAGGCGGTGCGCATGCGCACACGGTTCAACATGCTCACGGCAGCCATCCGCTGTCAACAACGCAGTACCACGCCCAGGAGCCGCGCATGCGCAGCATTCCAGTCGTGCTCACCGCTGCCCTCGGTGCTGGCAGATCAGTACTGCACGGGAAAGGTGCGCGCAGGCGCACTGTGTTCTCTCTGTTCACTGCTGCCCTCAGGTGTCCAGAAGACAGTACTGCAGGCGACACTGCCATGGCGGGCAGACAAAGTAGCCAGCCGGCGAGCACATGCGCAGTGCCACGGGCGTCTACGACGTCGGCAAGGGCTTTTCAGAACCCCTCCGGAGGGCTCGGTTTTGTGCAGGAGCCCTCCTTTGGCCCTCCGGGTTTCTTAGAGGCCCTCTAGTCTGCTCCAGACACCTCTTTTGGCTGAAATTGTGCCCCAGTGTCCTTTGTCCGTCCTCCAGATCACTTAGGGCCCCTCTTGTTCTCTCTGGACCACTCTTTTGGCCTTCCTTGTTCCTAGATCTGTTGCTAAGGGGTTTGGAGGGCCAGAGAACTTTCTAGTTGCCTCTGCATCCTTCCTGAGCTTGTCCTTGCTCCCTAGAGCTGTTTTTCTGGTCATGTAAACCGCTTCAGGGCCCCCTCTAGCGCACTCTGGATTATTCTTTCGGCCTTCTTTGCGCCGCAGAGCTGTCTTCAGGCCCTCCGGACCCTTTAATCCCTCCCTCTAGTCTTTTCAGAACCCCTCCGGAGGGCTCGGTTTTGTGCAGGAGCCCTCCTTTGGCCCTCCGGGTTTCTTAGAGGCCCTCTAGTCTGCTCCAGACACCTCTTTTGGCTGAAATTGTGCCCCAGTGTCCTTTGTCCGTCCTCCAGATCACTTAGGGCCCCTCTTGTTCTCTCTGGACCACTCTTTTGGCCTTCCTTGTTCCTAGATCTGTTGCTAAGGGGTTTGGAGGGCCAGAGAACTTTCTAGTTGCCTCTGCATCCTTCCTGAGCTTGTCCTTGCTCCCTAGAGCTGTTTTTCTGGTCATGTAAACCGCTTCAGGGCCCCCTCTAGCGCACTCTGGATTATTCTTTCGGCCTTCTTTGCGCCGCAGAGCTGTCTTCAGGCCCTCCGGACCCTTTAATCCCTCCCTCTAGTCTTTTCAGAACCCCTCCGGAGGGCTCGGTTTTGTGCAGGAGCCCTCCTTTGGCCCTCCGGGTTTCTTAGAGGCCCTCTAGTCTGCTCCAGACACCTCTTTTGGCTGAAATTGTGCCCCAGTGTCCTTTGTCCGTCCTCCAGATCACTTAGGGCCCCTCTTGTTCTCTCTGGACCACTCTTTTGGCCTTCCTTGTTCCTAGATCTGTTGCTAAGGGGTTTGGAGGGCCAGAGAACTTTCTAGTTGCCTCTGCATCCTTCCTGAGCTTGTCCTTGCTCCCTAGAGCTGTTTTTCTGGTCATGTAAACCGCTTCAGGGCCCCCTCTAGCGCACTCTGGATTATTCTTTCGGCCTTCTTTGCGCCGCAGAGCTGTCTTCAGGCCCTCCGGACCCTTTAATCCCTCCCTCTAGTCTTTTCAGAACCCCTCCGGAGGGCTCGGTTTTGTGCAGGAGCCCTCCTTTGGCCCTCCGGGTTTCTTAGAGGCCCTCTAGTCTGCTCCAGACACCTCTTTTGGCTGAAATTGTGCCCCAGTGTCCTTTGTCCGTCCTCCAGATCACTTAGGGCCCCTCTTGTTCTCTCTGGACCACTCTTTTGGCCTTCCTTGTTCCTAGATCTGTTGCTAAGGGGTTTGGAGGGCCAGAGAACTTTCTAGTTGCCTCTGCATCCTTCCTGAGCTTGTCCTTGCTCCCTAGAGCTGTTTTTCTGGTCATGTAAACCGCTTCAGGGCCCCCTCTAGCGCACTCTGGATTATTCTTTCGGCCTTCTTTGCGCCGCAGAGCTGTCTTCAGGCCCTCCGGACCCTTTAATCCCTCCCTCTAGTCTTTTCAGAACCCCTCCGGAGGGCTCGGTTTTGTGCAGGAGCCCTCCTTTGGCCCTCCGGGTTTCTTAGAGGCCCTCTAGTCTGCTCCAGACACCTCTTTTGGCTGAAATTGTGCCCCAGTGTCCTTTGTCCGTCCTCCAGATCACTTAGGGCCCCTCTTGTTCTCTCTGGACCACTCTTTTGGCCTTCCTTGTTCCTAGATCTGTTGCTAAGGGGTTTGGAGGGCCAGAGAACTTTCTAGTTGCCTCTGCATCCTTCCTGAGCTTGTCCTTGCTCCCTAGAGCTGTTTTTCTGGTCATGTAAACCGCTTCAGGGCCCCCTCTAGCGCACTCTGGATTATTCTTTCGGCCTTCTTTGCGCCGCAGAGCTGTCTTCAGGCCCTCCGGACCCTTTAATCCCTCCCTCTAGTCTTTTCAGAACCCCTCCGGAGGGCTCGGTTTTGTGCAGGAGCCCTCCTTTGGCCCTCCGGGTTTCTTAGAGGCCCTCTAGTCTGCTCCAGACACCTCTTTTGGCTGAAATTGTGCCCCAGTGTCCTTTGTCCGTCCTCCAGATCACTTAGGGCCCCTCTTGTTCTCTCTGGACCACTCTTTTGGCCTTCCTTGTTCCTAGATCTGTTGCTAAGGGGTTTGGAGGGCCAGAGAACTTTCTAGTTGCCTCTGCATCCTTCCTGAGCTTGTCCTTGCTCCCTAGAGCTGTTTTTCTGGTCATGTAAACCGCTTCAGGGCCCCCTCTAGCGCACTCTGGATTATTCTTTCGGCCTTCTT